TGTGGGTGTCGTTGTTGTTGCTGTCGTTGAAGATGTTGATGTCGGGGCCGCTGTGGATGTGGTAGTCGTCGTTGTGGGTGTCGTTGTTGTTGCTGTCGTTGAAGATGTTGATGTCGGGGCCGCTGTGGATGTGGTAGTCGTCGTTGTGGGTGTCGTTGTTGTTGCTGTCGTTGAAGATGTTGATGTCGGGGCCGCTGTGGATGTGGTTGTCGTCGTTGTGGGTGTCGTTGTTGATGCTGTCATTGATGATGTTGTTGTTGTGGTCGTTGTGGATGTGGTAGTCGTCGTTGTGGGTGTCGTTGTTGATGCTGTCGTTGAAGATGTTGTTGCCGGGGCCGCTGTGGATGTGGTTGTCGTCGTTGTGGGTGTCGTTGATGCTGTAGTTGAAGATGTTGATGTCGCGGCCGCTGTGGATGTGGTTATCGTCGTTGTGGGTGTCGTTGTTGATGCTGTCGTTGAAGATGTTGATGTCGCGGCCGCTGTGGATGTGGTTGTCGTCGTTGTGGGTGTCGTTGTTGATGCTGTCGTTGAAGATGTTGCTGTCGGGGCCGCTGTGGATGTGGTTGTCGTCGTTGTGGGTGTCGATGTTGATGCTGTCGTTGAAGATGTTGCTGTCGGGGCCGCTGTGGATGTGGTTGTCGTCGTTGTGGGTGTCGATGTTGATGCTGTTGTAGAAGATGTTGCTGTCGGGGCCGCTGTGGATGTGGTTGTCGTCGTTGTGGGTGTCGTTGTTGATGCTGTCATTGAAGATGTTGTTGGGGCCGCTGTAGATGTGGTTGTCGTCGTTGTGGGTGTCGTTGTTGGTGCTGTCGTTGATGTTGTTGTTGGGGCCGCTGTGGTTGTTGTCGTTGTGGGTGTCGTTGTTGTTGCTGTCATTGCTGATGTTGTTGTTGGGACCGCTGTGGTTGTCTTCGTTGTGGGTGTCATTGTTGATGCTGTCGTTGGGGCCGCTGTGATTGTTGTCATTGGGGGTGTCATGGTTGATGCTGTCGTTGATTGTGTTAGAAACCAGAAATACAAATATCAATAATTTTCCCGTATGTCACATATTATGTGTGTATTTTACAGCAACAATAAATGTCATTTTACTATTTAGTTTTTCACATCATTGTTGTCATATTATCTTGAAAAATATTAAAATGATAATCTGAATACCTTTACTGACACAACTTGAATATAGACAAGGTCAATAATGTATGGAAACTGAATATACCTTTATACTTTTTTACAATACAATATTTAATTTAAAATTCAGTTTCTCACATCATTTACCAAGTATAGTATCATAAATAAATGCTGAGACATTTTTGAGTATAATTTTCAAGAATACTATAGAAAGAATTTCACTGATATTACAGTTGTCAAAAATTACTTACTTGTTGTGGGCACTTGTTCCAATGATAAGGAGAAACCTCCCAATATCAGGAATAGATACAGCATTTTATTTCTGTGTTGAACCTACTAATGTGAATTTCTTTTCCCAGCAAAAGAATGAGCTTCTATCTGGCTTGAATGAGGAAGTGTATTGAACTTATTCTTCTCGGGGATGGGAGGAGCTCTCAAGAATGATTCCTTGACATGTCATTCATCCAGGACATCTAATATGGTACAGATGTGTGTGTGTGTGTATATAGTATATATAGACAACCACTTTAATAGCTATATGCATCCTTATCAAAGTGGCCACGAGAGCACTTTATTGGCCACACCTACAGTAAAGGTGGTCAGAATTTTTAAACCTACCAGAACGGACACGAGGGCAAAAATAAATTCTCAGTATAGCATGATTGTGATGTGCTGAAAAGCTTGTCTGAATGTGCAGTGATTATGGAGGCAAAATACCAGGTACAATGTAGGGGTCTCTAATGAGGTAACCACTGAATGTAATAGAAATAATATAGATAATCCTTAATTTACTGTAATTTAAGTTATATCAATTAAAAGAAATTGTGAGCCGGTGGCACCTAGCTGTGACATTTGACAGGTATGTTTGTTTGGCTTGAGTGATGTAATGAGTGTTTTTGTTTGGAGTATGTGTTGTGATAGGTTCTCTGTATATACACTGAACAAAAATATAAACGCAACACTCTTGTTTTTGCTCCCATTTTTCATGAGCTGAACTCAAACATAGGAAAATTTTTCTACATACACAAAAGACCCATTTCTCTCAAATATTGTTCACAAATCTGTCTAAATCTGTGTTAGTGAGCACTTCTCCTTTGCCAAGATAATCCATCCCACCTCACAGGGGTGGCATATCAAGGTGCTGATTAGACAGCATCAATATTGCACAGGTGTGCCTTAGACTGCCCACAATAAAAGGCCACCCTGAAATGTGCAGTTTGATCAAACAGCACAATGCCACAGATGTCGCAACCTTTGAGGGAGCGTGCGATTGGCATGCTGACTGCAGGAATGTCTACCAGAGCTGTTGCCCGTGAAATGAATGTTCATTTCTCTACCATAAGCCGTCTCCAAAGGCGTTTCAGAGAATTTGGCAGTACATCCAACCGGCCTCACAACCGCAGACCACGTGTAACCACACCAGCCCAGGACCTTCACATCCAGCATGTTCACCTCCAGGATCGCCTGATACCAGCCACCCGGACAGCTGCAGCAACAATCGGTTTGCATAACCAAAGAATTTCTGCACAAACTATCAGAAACCGTCTCAGGGAAGCTCATCTGCATGTTCGTCGTCCTCATCGGGGTCTGGACCTGACTGCAGTTCGTCGTTGTAACCAACTTGAGTGGGCAAACACTCACATTCGATGGCATTTGGCACGTTGGAGAGGCGTTCTATTCACAGATGAGTCCCGGTTTTCACTGTTTAGGGCAGATGGCAGACAGCGTGTGTGGCGTCGTGTGGGTGAGCGGTTTGCTGATGTCAACGTTGTGGATCGAGTGGCCCATGGTGGCGGTGGGGTTCTGGTATGGGCAGGCGTATGTTATGGACAACGAACACAGGTGCATTTTATTGATGGCATTTTGAATGCACAGAGGTACCGTGACGAGATCCTGAGGCCCATTGTTGTGCCATTCATCCACGACCATCACCTCATGTTGCAGCATGATAACGCACGGCCCTATATTGCAAGGATCTGTACACGATTACTGGAAGCTGAAAACATCCCAGTTCTTGCATGGCCAGCATACTCACCAGACATGTCACCCATTGAGCATGTTTGGGATGCTCTGGATCGGCGTATACGACAGCGTGTTCCAGTTCCTGCCAATATTCAGCAACTTCGCACAGCTATTGAAGAGGAGTGGACCAACATTCCACAGGCCACAATCAACAACCTGATCAACTCTATGCAACGAAAATGTGTTGCCCTGCGTGAGGCAAATGGTGGCCACACCAGATACTGACTGGTTTTCTGCCCCCCCCCCATAAAGCAAAACTGTGCACATTTAAGGGTGGCCTTTTATTGTGGGCAGTCTAAGGCACACCTGTGCAATATTGATGCTGTCTAATCAGCACCTTGATATGCCACCCCTGTGAGGTGGGATGGATTGTCTTGGCAAAGGAGAAGTGCTCACTAACACAGATTTAGACAGAATTGTGAACAATATTTGAGAGAAATGGGTCTTTTGTGTATGTAGAAAAATTTTCCGATGTTTGAGTTCAGCTCATGAAAAATGGGAGCAAAAACAAGAGTGTTGTGTTTATATTTTTGTTCTGTGTATTTATTAAGCAGCAGGGAACTGAAATTGACAATGAACTGAACATTACACAACATCTGTGTCTCGCAATTGTATGGAATGACAGTTTTATGATTTATTATATGTGTCATTAAGTAACAAAAACCAGATATACTGGCATTACCACCCACTGCCTTTATGACACTTACCTTGGCACTGAAAATTCTAACACAAATATTTTCTACTTAATAATAAACATTCATTTTACATAAAACTATTTTACAGATACTTTGGTGTTTTAAGGAAAGCTTAACATTTTTTATAAATATAATTATGTACAATTGTGCACAAACATATATATTGTATATATAAATCCAATAATGAACTGTTTGATTGAGTCATTTATGCATTCTAATGATTTTGAAATGTGTAGATTCTTTTAATCCAGTTATATCTCTAAGATAACATTCTCAAACCTTACTGTACATTTTGATGTTTACCACTTTAATTGTAGCCTTTTTGGGAGAATTATTCCATTAATCTTTAAAACAATGAAGTCACAGCTGTTCATTAGACCAGAAGTCGTCTTACCCCCATTGACCCCACAAGCCTGTTGTATGTCCCCAAAACCTCTGCTTTTCCTGTCATCTACCTGTCGATTTGGTTTTTGTTACAGTTTTTATTTCCTTTTTGCATTTCCACAATGTGTCCTGTCACTCCAGTTCCAGCTGCACCCAGTTGCCTGAATTTTTTTCCCCCCAAATAAAGATCCTGTGCTCTGCCTCACCCTACAAGTCATGGTTCTGTTACACCTACCATCCAAAGACAGATTCTCAGGGTGAAAGATGTCCAGTTGTATTTTTTATGTTCTGTTGTATTTCCTGGCAGTTATTACCTTAGGCGTTACCTTCTTCTGTAGCAATACCTGGACTTTTCATTAAAGCACAAAGAGAATTAAGTCTTGACAGCGTGGACGTCACTGAGAGACCCATGCCCAGGTCCACGGTCCTCGTGGTGGGAGGCGGGGCCGCTTGCACTGAGGAGGAGCCGCTGCTGCTTGAAGACCCCCCCGACCAGCTGTGCACAAAGCGCACAAGTACTCAATGATGCAGATGCGGCTCACATGACGGAGCGTGCAGTCACATGTTCTGGAGGGGGGGGCCTTACCGGAGTGAGGAAGCTGAGCTGCGGCCAGAGGAAGGCTTTGAGCTGGTCCCACTCACTAGGGTGGGGGCAGGAGAGGGCGGGGGCAGACTGGCCTACAAATAAAGGCACCGGCATTTTCCATTCACCCAGTTCTGAATTTTTGTCGTTTAAAAAAGTCTGCTGCAGTACGAATGTCCTCCGATGTAAAGATACCACTATAATCACCAGGATCAACTAACTTGAATCCCAATTAAATTATCATTTAGTCGTTAAATTATCTTTGTGCTGTTCTATCTTTCCCATTTGTGTGATTAGTAAAATGCCTTAAATTCATTAATATCTTTTAACCACAGCAGTGTCCTGACAGCATTTGAAATTTCTATTTTAATATTTTAATCATAAATTCTTGGCTGGCCAAGTGTATAGGGCTAACTATAGATGTGTGTGAGCCAGAGGGGAACTGTATTATATATTTTTGTGTGTTTAATGCTTTTAAGATAAACACTTATTTATTGTACAGACAATTTTGTGGTTCAGTGGGCGCCATACCTGCTGAAAATACATACTGTATCAGTGGCATCTTATTCACTGTCCTGTTGAAGTCCCTCAGCTACTGGAGATCAATGTCTTGCTTTTCCAAGGATTCCTCCTTGGTCTTCTTGGCAGACTGAATCTCAGCTGGAAAACTTTGAACTGAATTTAAAAGATAACCTCATATAATGGACAAAAAACACCCTTTCAAAAGCCATTCTGTCGTTTGGGTCCCGGAAACACTGTGCACCGTGTCCTATCCACAGGAAAGTGTATAAATATTTACTTAAGACATCTAAGGACACAGACACTGTATGAACTGAGCAAATGGGAAGATTAAATCTTAGTGCTTGTTGTGGAATGTGGATCACTATTCTATAACTGTAACCGGAAGGTTGTTGGTTCAAATCCATTGGCTGACAGAGGATTGTATCACTGCAAGACCCTTGCAATTGCTCCCAGCAGATAAATAGCTAACCCTGAGGTCTGAGCCCAATCTTCGCTCTCACCAGTGTCTGTGTGTCTCAGATGGGATTTACGGAAAAAATGTTCAGTGTACCAGTAAATATCTCCATTTGAGGTTACCAAAGATATTACATGTTTGCTGTGCTCTACACCTGTGGTGTTGTTCTTTTGTGTCAGTACACTGTGAAGTAGTCTTTCCTCATTTTTTATAGGATCAAATTATAATTTGAATTCACATATTGGCCAAGATGCAAAAGATTATTGTTGAAAGGGGTGAGGCAGGGCGTAACCTTTTTATTGCTGAATGACTTATTTGAGGGAGACTCTCACCAAAGATTTTGTCATTAGTTACATAATATTATCACGGCAGTGTGGAATTGTTGAACCTGAATTCCAACTAACAATTTTAAATTTAGTAAAGACTAAAAACAGAAACTACACAGAAAGGTTTAATCATTGGTGGAAGAAAGTAGTTTTACTAATACATGGCTTTGCTATGACGAAGTTTTAGGGCCACTATTAATAAAAATATAAAACCTCGAGAATAATGTTGGAACTTTCAAGATTAAAGTTGTAATTTGTCAGAATAAAGTCATAATAATTCGAGAATGAAGTCAAAATAAAGTCAAAGTTACGAGAAAAAAAAGTCATACTTTTCAAGAATAAAGTCGTAATTTGCTAAAATAAAGTCACAATAATTTGAGAATAAAGTCATAAAGTTACGAGAAAAAAACCTGCAATGTTTCAAGAATAAAGTCATTCAAAACTATGTGAAAAGGTTCAGAATCGTTCAGGACTTTATGTGCTAAAACGAGGGACATTGAGGGTATAGTAAAACTTTACATTAGAATACGGGTCACAAACAAAGAGATCTTGCTCTTCTGGCACATCAGCATCAAATTATTAGTATTTGGACATTGAAATGATTGTGTCACAAATTGCATCTGTTAAGAAGAAGGAACAATATGGACTTGAATGAACTTGCCGCTTTTGTTGAACGTGAGATCACTAGCAGTGGGAGTCTACAAGGCTATCGATGGCTACATCTGCGTGCTGTTCAAAGAGGGTATTGTAGTGTCACAGCAGACAATGCATATGATCATCAAAATGATTGATCCCAAAGGTGTAGATGGTCGGCGCGCTCGGTGTCTTTGACGTCGAAAGTACAGTAATAGTGGCCCCAAAGCTTTATGGCATATGGACTCGTACGACAAACTGAAGCCATATGGCATCGCAATAAATGGTTGCATTGATGGATTTAGTTGTCATGTGACGTGGATGGAGGCGTTTAATACAAACAACGACCCCAAAAATCTGATCCAGTTCTGCTTTCTAAATATTGTGCAGGTATCACAAAATTCTATTTTACACATATAATTTCTCATCACCAAGGACATAAATGAATCATAATTAATAATTATTAATATTGAAATCATTAAAGTGAATAAATTCATTTAAAAGTGTAGGTGCAACCGGAAGATTTTCTGTGCATCAAACCTCTTGATCAATGCTGAAGTTGAGTATTCTTCACTGTACTATACTATATATGCTGAGATGGTGGTTGATCAGGTTGTAGCCCATTATTCATATTTGTTTTCATGCAGGATGAACTAGATGAGGACATGGAACTCTCATAAAATAATTCCGAAGCCAGCCCAAGGAGTGCCTGGAGGATGCCCAATTCTAATGTTTTGTGTTCCGCAAATTTGCAGAGGGGGGAGAACAAACTAAAACCTGTTCTCCCAGAAGAGGTAGATCTTTGCAAAGAGGAATGCAGCCCAAAAGTACGGTACCCCTGCGATGAAACTGTCTTTGACCTCTGTGGACGAAAATGGTTGGACTGCACATGAAGATACATACCATGCAGCTGAACCTGTACTCTCACCTAAAAAATGATTTACTAGACAATATATAGAAAGACAAACTACTCTTAAATGAGCATGTCCACTGATGGTGATCTGCAAAGATTCTACGATGATGGAAATTCCTTCCCTGGGATAATGGAGATCCGTTCCTCAATTTACAGGTTTTGGCTTTATTCCAAAAATGTACGACTTTTTTCCCGTAACATTATGACTTTATTCACAAAATATTATGACTTTATTCTCTAAAGTTACAGCTTTTATCTTGTAACTTTATGAATTTATTCTCTAAATATTATGACTTCATTCTTGCAAATTACAACTTTTTTCTCAAAAGTTACAACATTTTTTCGTAACTGACCTTAATCTGGAATTATTATGACTTTATTCTGGCAAATTACAACTTTAATCTTGAAAATTCCAACTTTATTCTCGAGGTTTTATATTTAAATTTTTATTAATAGTGGCCCTAAAACTCCATCATACTTTTCAGCTCCTAAATCTCAGGCAGATAGTAACGTAGGGTTACTCAGGCACTCAGGGACATAGGATTGATATTGACATTGATGGGGGTGGGTCAATGTTAATACGTTTCCTGGTCCCCATAAGGGAAAGCTCTATTTTATAAAAATCCGTGACTACAATGAAAAAACTAAAAATGCAAAAACTCTTGTTTTGTTAGGTTACTTATGGTTATGATTAGGGCTGGGTAGGGTATAAGGTTGTCAGAGTTAGCATTAGCATTCTTACCCTAGAAATGAATGAGCGGTCCCCAAAAAGGTATGATTACACGACTCTGTGTGTGTGTGTGTGTGTATGTGTGTGGAGTTTGCAAAATCTCTTTCCATGTTTGTGGGTATCCCATGGAAACTCCAGATTCCTCCAGCAGTTACGGAAACCTGGTTCTCTAAATGCCTGTGGTGATTGTTTGTGTCTGTGCCCTATTATCAACTAGAATAAGCTCCATTGTGCCTATTCAAAATACAATTGGCTTCTCAGAAATTACTCCCTTGTGCACGTCTTACTCACAGTGTGTATGTACCTTGTTCTGGATAAATGGCATGGGATTCTTCCTCAAGAAGTCTGCATGGTGATTGACAGGTTTCACTGGTCTCTTGTCTGGTTGTAATTAATTTTTCTGTTGCTTGAGGTAGGTCTGGTCCATCTTGTTCAACCGGCTGTTGAGTTTGGACAGTGATGCTCTGTACCCTGTAATCTCTGCTTCTGTTTCCATCTCTCTGGCTTTCAGTGTCTGCAGCTCCTGGGTCTTCTTGAACAGCGCCTCCCGATGGTAGAGCAGCAGGGAATCCATCTTATACATGAAAGACCATCTGGGTCATGCTCCATTTGGAGTAGGAATCCATGTCACAGAGGTTTTTATCATGTTTCACAGTAGCGCTACATCTGTAAAACAGCTTTCACAGAACATTTGAGAAGCCATATTTAATATACAATAATTTTTTAAAGGTATAACCTGAAATACAAATGAGTTCAAATTTTACTATATACATCATTAACATTGTACATTTATTGAAATGTATTTGTCACTGAGATTTTGGTTGCTGGTGATATTAGGACTCATATTACATTGTAGTTAGGTCTTGTTCCAATTTGTTTTCAGAACTAAATAAAAACCAAAAATTACCATATGAGGTCAAACATTTTAAAGAGGAATGTAGATAGTAAAAAAATGTTTCCATCCACAAGCAGAGTGAATTTTGAATGAAAATTCTACAACTAGTCAGCGTTATAACTACAATTTTGAATGGCGAGTAATGTTCAAAACCTTTAATACAATATTTGTCAGTGATAAAATTGTGTTTTCATGAAAACACCGTATTTTTAATTTATTAGAATTTTCTATCTTTAATGTATCTAAAATTTTGCCACTGTGCAAAACTCAAAAGGTGCACAAATGTTTTCATAGTATGCAAAGTCAATAATGGATGTGTTTGTGATAGAACAATACTTATAATCAGCCGGCTCCCTGAAGAGGGCCATCAAGAGTAGGACAACTGAAGCCGCCATCAAATCTTGATATTGTAGGGTCCTTGAGTCATTCTCCATCTCATTCTACGTTCATTCTGCAGTGCCTCAGTCAGCCTCGAGAGAATGTCAATCCAAGTAAGCTTTTCAAAGTTTGAACAGAGCCATCTTTTCTGGAAAAGAAAGGGCCAGTCTTGCATGACATCACTGACTCTGGGTCATTGTGAGCCGGTGTGTATGTGGGTTTCGCTAACTCCCTAATTAGATTACTAATTAGAGGCCTGATTGGCTGAAGAGTCCTCACACCTGGGTTTGAACAGCTGACCTACAGGTTATCCCACAAACCTGCATACACACCGGCCCTTTGCGGATAAGATTGGCCGCCCCTGGTATAGGGTGTTTTATCAGATGTTAAACAGCAGACTTTACTCTTTTCTATCTACCCAATACATTTATATACAGTATACCTTTCACTCAATTAAAATTGGCAGTTGAAATATATATGTCAGTCGTGTTTGCACAGACCACCGTGGACAGCTAGCCACTCAAACGTATAAGTTGTTGCCACTTATAGCTCCTTCCACTCCTTCACCAGAAGTTACACCCATAATCGTTTCCTCAGTAGTGCCCCTAGGAATGAGGTGGGAACTTGTCCAGGCAGGGTCCAAAAACACATAAAAGAAGTATAAATACCAATAAGCTTTAATATAGTCTTCATTTAGACAAAGTGTACATGAATCTACCATAGACTTCCAGGGAAACACGTCATCAGCTTGGTGTCTATAGTTTGGTGTCTATATGTTTATCCTGCGCAGATGGTCTGGTGGTGCCAGGAAACGAGAACACACTTGCTGCCACCTCATCCCACACCTGCTTCATTTGAAAGGCTTCAGGCCCCCGTAGATGACATGCTCATGCCTTTTCACCCTCGCACACGAGCACATCTGTTTCCTTGGCCGAAATCTGTAATAGCAATCCACATTAGATCATGCACCGCTGCATTTTAAGTGAGGTGACGTGCCATTCCAATTGGATCATTGCACGTTACGCCCAAAACACGTTAGGACAACCCTTTTTCCACTTTGCAATTGCGCGAAGTCTGGTTTTTGGACACACCCATTAATGTTAGTTTCACTTTGCACTTTAGATCATCAAAATAGAGCCCATTGTCTTTAGATGTGAGTGTATGACTTTAGTCTTTAAAACATCTTTTTAAAGTCTTTTAGTGTATGGTTAGCATACCAGAGGAAAGGAAACACAACAATTCACCTGCAACAACAACAAATTTATTTTTGTATAGCGCATTATCACAATATTACATAGTCCCAAAGCGCTTTACAGCATCCCCACCCAAAGCCCCCAGTGAGTAAGCCATAGGCGACAGTGGCAAGGAAAAACTCCGTAGAAGGAAGAAACCTTGGGAGGGACCAGACTCAAAGGGGGAGCCCATCCTCCAGGGGCCGGCAGGGAGAGTCAAATACAGTTAAATCTGAAACACAAACGGGGAGCAGGGGGGAGATGACAAGCCGGTGCAATATGAAGTGCAATGCTCCGGCAGATATGGCTATCTGCCTCTCTAGACAAACAAAATTAAAAAAACAAAACAAAAAATCCCTACAACTGGTGCACATACATATATAATCAAATGAGCAACCAACACATAAGGGCAAGAGTGACAATCAGTCTAGTTAAGCAATCGAGATTCAAAATCCAGAGAATCAAATAACTGAAATGCGCAATAACTGAAAAAACTGAAGGAGCAAGAACAACAAATAAAATGCTGAACAAAAAATTAAATGCGCTGTCAGGTTGGAACCGGCATTCTATTCTATTCTATTCTATTCTATTCTATTCTATTCTATTCTATTACCAACATTCTATTTTATACAGTAATCCTACGAGTGATTTGTGGGGGCTGCCATCTTGGAGTTCCAGCATTACTCCCCTGGCACTACGTGGCCTGCTGACAGCAGCTGACAATGAAAGCAGCATGAATAGATAGAATGACGACGTTAGACAGTGGCCCCCAGTTACTGATTGATGTACGTTATATGGCTGGTGATATTCACGTTATTCAAATTTTACATATTAATTAGACATTGGTTATGACAAGAGCCAGAAAAAGGAAAAAAAAAAATGAGGTAACAATTTGAGGGTACAAATCATATACTTCAATAATGCTTAACTTATGATGATTTAATGCATGAATAATACGATATATTATGAATTCATGTTATTCACCATGAACTAATGATGAAGTTCACCATGGCTTTATCTGATCACACTTACTAGGTCATCAGTTAAGAAATGTTAATTAACAATCACTTCATACATTATTTGATATGCAACCAAAATTATCTAACCAAATAAAAGACATTCTGTCATCCTATATCTCATTTTGAAAATATATCAATATTCTATAAAAATTTAATATACTGCCCAAGGCCTATTAGAGAATGTTTAAATTGCTCTTCATGTGGTAAAGGCTTGTGGCAGAGCTATCGAAGTGGATCTGCTCCCACACAGCTCTCTGTTTTTTTTCACCAGCATTCCTTCACACCTCTATTTTTAAATACCTCTGCTTTGCTGTAAGCCTTTTTGGGTGAAAGTGTCCCCTCCATACCTTTATGTGCACCACAGGTGTCAGACTCCAGTCCTGGAAGGTCAGAGCCCTGCACATTTTTGGGTTTCCCCTCATTTAACACACCTGATTCAACTCATTGTGCTAATTATCACACAGCTCTTGAGCTGGATCATTTGTGGTGGAACAGGGAACGAACTAAGCTACACAGGGCTCCGGCCCCCCAGGACTGCAGTTTGACACCCCTGCCTTAGCTGATTTGTGACAAAAGGCCTGTTGAACAGCATTGTTTGTAGTACAGACTTCTTTGTAGATTCACCCCCCTTGAGGCTAATGGTAGTAATGGGAAGAATATCCCAGTTTGGCCACTATTATGTTTCCTGTAAATATGTTGTGTTGACACATTATCACTATATATGTAATTATATTTACTGTTAAACAATGTGTATATACTGAAATCTATATGAATCTTTTCATTTCAGAAAAAGACAATAATAATAATAATAATAAGGCAGGCAGCACTAAGTGCTTCATATAACAAATTTAACAATAAGCAGAACCAACAGAAAAATACAATAAATAAAACATTCAAATAAAAGGACAAATTGGGAAGTATAAGGAAAATAAAATGAATGAAACCAATCTATAAACAAATTAAGAAAGAAATAAGGAATCAAATACATTTGCAAAGGCTGATCAATGAAAGTATGTTTCTAAATGAGACAAAAATGGCTACTGAGTCAGTTGATCTAATGCTTGGAGGTAAAGCTGTTTCAACGTCTTGAAGCCATCAAAGAAAATGCTTTATGGGTAATAGCAATTCAGATACACAGTCCAGAGCTAAACCATGCAAAGTCTTAAACGTGATCAACAAACCTTTTAATAAGGCCTCAGTTGAACTGGAAGCTAGTGAATGATGCCAAAATTGGAGTAATATGCTCACAGACCTTTGATCTTGTCTGAAGTCTGGCTTCAGCATTCCATACCAACTGGAGACAAGCAATGGAAGAGTCATTTGTGTAGCAAATGAGGTATTACAATGGTCCAGGTCAGATATAACAAAAGCATGTATGACCTGTTCAGTACCTTCAAAAGATGCTCTAACGTTTGCAATATCTCAGTTTATAAAAGTCAGATTGTACCAATTTATTTACATGAGTTTGAACATTTAAACTGGAATCAAAGAGCACCCCTAAGTTCCTAGACACTGGACTACACATGTAGTCACACATAGAGGGCCATATTAAGCCCATGTGGTAACTCTAGACGGAGGGGTTGTTGCCAAGTCAGCACCATCTTAGAAGATGGCACCTTAAGTGGCTGCTTATGTCACTTATTGCACACAGCTGTATAACAGAAGCTGATGAGAGTCATCTCACCACAGATGCCTGAGATCCAGTTGATAGATACTTAACAGGCCTAGTGAGATGAATAATTACACCTGTCCCTCATTTTATATGAACCTGTTGGTTTTGGTTTCATTTCATGCTAAAAATTTCCTTTTACATTTCCATAATGTGTATAGTCAGTCCAGTTCCTACAGCACAGTTTCCTTCAATTAAGATTCTATTCTTAGCCTCACCTCAGTTTATGTCGTCCTGTCTGACAACCCAACCAGAGACGGTTTCACAGGGTACATGGTATTTTGGTAAATAATATTATTGCAGGAGGGTTGTTGGGCAAAAACTGGTTGTATGCCTTTCAAAGTAAATCTGGCAGAACCACCAAAACTTCGTTGAAGACTCAACTGTACCTGTAATGAACATAAAGAATTTTCAGAATATTAAAGTCATTGTTTACAACAATACGATGAAACATCCATAAATCCATTTTCATTAACTGCCTACTGGAGTCACTGAGTATGGAAGCATTCAAAGGAATCAGGGTATATAGGGTAGGGAATGCCAGTGCATAAATGGGCACAGACTCATACACAGCCGCTATGGGGAGAACATGCAAACTCCAAAGGGTGGGTCCAGAGGGAAAAGTGAAGCTACATCCCTGAATGTGTGAGACTAAATTACTACTCACTTTCTCAACCACAACTAACATTTAACAGTATGATTATTTACAAAATAACGCCCATACTATTGGTATCTTCCTAAAATTAAGAAGATTAAGAAACAAACTATGCAACAATGTTATCAAATTATAGTAAGTACATAGGTGTATTATTCAAAAGAGTTAAGTGTAAATAGTTAATGAAATTAACACAAAAAACTTAACAGTATAATGAAAAGTTCCTGTCCCAAACTCACTTATGAATTACAGAAAAATCAGTGTACCTGCTGTAAGAAGTCTTGAACTGCATTTTTATTAAGAAACACTGCAGATCGAAAGATAGCTTGGAGTTTTGCAGAGGTGGAGCTATTTTTTATGGGCTTAGAGGACATAATTGAGGGTGTTGTTGAGTTTGGTCCTGTGCTTGGGTTTAAGTTGGTGGTTGTTAGTGCAGGCGTTGTCATTTTAGTTGGTACTGTGGTTGAAGGTAAAGGGCTTGTTGGTTGTGGCACAGATGTTGGACTCGTTGAAGGTAAAGTGGAAGTTGTTAAAGTTGTTGCTGTAATGGGGACTGTGGTTGGAGTTGATGTGGTTGTTGTTTGCACCAGACTTGGTGTTGTGATTCGTACCATGGTTGGAGGTAAAGTGGTTGTACTTTGAATGAGAGTTGGTGTGGTGAGAGGTACGGTGGTTGGAGGTACAGTGGAAGGTGTCTGGACTGGAGTTGTGACTGGAACTGTGGATAAAGGTGAAGTGGCAGGTGACTGGCCTGGAGTTGTTGATGTCATTGCCTCTATGGATGGAGGTACAGTGGAAGGTGTCAGACCTGAAGTTGTTGGGATTAGCATCGTGGTTGGATTTGAACTGGTTGTGGTTTGTACTGGAGTTGGTGTTGTAATTGTTACAGTGGTTGAAGGTAAGTTGGTTGTTTGTACTTGAGTTGTGATTGGCATCGTGGTTGGAGTTGAACTGGTTGTTGTTTGTACTGCAGTTGTGATTGGCATCGTGGTTGAAGTGGTTGTGGTTTGTACTGGAGTTGATGTTATTATTGGTACTGTGGTTGAAGGTAAAGTGGTTGTTTGTACTGTAGTTCTGATTGGCGTCGTGGTTGAAGTGGTTGTGGTTTGTACTGCAGTTGATGTTGTTATTGGTACTGTGGTTGAAGGTAAAGTGGTTGTTTGTACTGGAGTTGTGAATGGCATCGTGGTTGGAGTTGAAGTGGTTGTTTGTACTGGTGTTGTTATTGGCACTGTGGTTGAAGGTAAAGTGGTTGTTTGTTCTGTAGTTGTGATTGGCATCGTGGTTGCAGTTGAACTGGTTGTTTGTACTGTAGTTGTGATTGGTACTGTGGTTGAAGGCAAAGTGGTGGTTTGTACTGGAGTTGTGTTTGGCATCGTGGTTGCAGTTGAAGTGGTTGTTTGTACTGGTGTTGTTATTGGC